CTCTTGGGGGCCTGTTATAGGCCCAGAGACTTGTCACAATGTATTTGTTACCTCCTGGCCCTTCCCCAGCTGTTGTTGCTGAGTTGAAGAGCTGCAGAAGTCTGCTTTCCCCTTTTTTTTGGGGGGGGGTGTGCATCTCTCAGCTCTAAGTGGACTATAGGTACATTTTGTGGCATTGAACACCACAGTCATACATCAGTTTCTTCTATTTAGCTTTGCTTTTCTTTCCCAATCCTCGGGATCAAAGGAGATGCACTAACTTATTCTGATTTATGTAAGCATGTGCTGCTCCTCAAGGAGGAAATGGGAGCTAGTTTTTCCAGTTACTAACTTGGACAGCTGTCAGACTGAACAATGGTAGGAGAAAATGAAACTGTCTAGATGGAATGGGGGGGTGGTGTGTGCATGCGCATGAGTGAGCTCAGGGCCCTAAGTACTGTAGTGTCTCTGGCTTAGTTGAGCCATGCACCAGACCTGGTAGTATTACTCTAAAGGCCTAGGGTAGAACAAAGTGTGCAGTATGCTCACACTGGCCCTTTCCAGGCTTGACTATTTGCATTACATTGGGTAGCTTCTCAGCCTTGAAGAGATTCTGTCAGTGCTGTGTTTAGGAGTATCCTATCTGTTCTTGTGTTGAAACTGTCTCTTAACTCTTTTGGATAAAGCCAAGTCACGCACAGCTTTACATGTTTCAACAGCTCAGTCAGACATGGACTTAACGCTCCTTCTCCAAAATACTAATTTAAAGTCCATGTATGAAAACATGGAAACTTAGTGTGCAGGTGTTCTCTGGAAACTAGCATGGGTCTTTTGTTTTTACACTTCAATCTGTTTCTGTTTTATATATTTGCTAATAATTTGTGAGTGAGGCAAATGAGGAGGAATAATAATAATAAAAAGTTATTTTAAAATTCATTTCAGTCTTGGAGCAAACCTAGGTAGGTGAAAGAGGGAGCAGTCGATTCTAATATGTGAATGATCAGTAGAACTAGGCAAGCAGGCAATTGTAACCATTTGGAAAGCAGTGGTTTGGACAGGTGTTACGGTGGGCAGAATTGGGGCTTCTGAGTGCCTGCTTCCGAATTGCACTTGTGAAAAGGGGAGAACTGTCAGGTTAAGTTAGCCGGGTTGCCAGCTAGAATTGTTGCTCTCAAACTGAGTGCCCTTATTCTGGGACTGAAACATGATTAGCATGAACCCTTCAGTGCTGCTTCTAGAACAACTCAGGTTAAATTTGTACTTGAATGTCAACTTCATGGTTCCTTAAACTTGTTCACTGTATAACAAGTCTCTCTTAAACAAGAGCTATACTAAACGTTCATTAAGGGTGCCAGTCTTTGAAAGCTTACCTCTGCAAGGCATCTTTTTTTCCTTTTCAGGGAAGGGTGGACTTATAAGTACATTTTGTAGTGTTGAACACCTCAGTCATATATCGGAGTTTCTTCTATTTAGCTTTCCTTTTCTCTTACAAGAACACTAGCATGTTGATCCCAAGCATATTGTTTTCTTGCATATAGCTTGCTTAATCCAGCCTTCATTTATCAGTATTGGCAAGGGAAGATAATGAAATTGCCTGATTGGGAGTGGGGGTGCGCACACATTATAGGTCTCTTTTGAAATAATATTATTACAGTTGTCTGTGCTGTTTGCTGTCATTTGTGTGATGGAAATTGGTATTTGGCATAACCCTTGCCTGATAATCGAAAACGTCTGATTTACTAAATTATTTGCATTTGAACAGTTATGAAAAACTTCTGGAAACTTGCCATACAAAGTAAAACCAGATTTAAGTTGATTATCTTGTGCCTCATATACTGCAAACAGTTGTACTGAAGCAATATATGTATATATTTTTTTTCAGTTGATTCACTTATGTTTGACTATAATTTGTGAAGAGTTAATTTTAAATATCACAACTATCCCCTAGATGTACTATTGTTTATATAAGACACTGCTCAAAAATGGTTCATCTCTCCTGTTGGCATGAGACTGACACAAGTTAAGGGACATTTAAAATTAATTGATTTTCATATTGATCATTTCTAACTTCTAGACAGCTATATATTTTCAGGGCAGTTGTTAAAGGAAAAAGCTTCTTTTTTATTTCAGCCCCTCTTTGGCTTTGGTTTTTAGTGATTTTCCATTTGTAGGATGAGCCATTGTGTGTAGCTTTCACATCCGTTTAACTGTGAAGGGTGGTAATTGCAACAGAGTTGGTGTTTCTACCTAATGCGTGAAAGCGAGAAGCATTACTAAAATGGTGCTAAGTTGTAAAAACACTTGCAAATTTCTAAATTAGTGATTCTATTGCAGACTGTAAAATATAAATACAAGTATCTGTGGAGTAGAAATTGAATATATATTTTTAAAATACAAAACACCTACCTCCCAGCAACCTTAACTGCCCAAATCATCCCATCTCTGTATGCTCTAATAATATAATAACACGTGCTGGATTCTTGCAACACTAAAATGCATAGCACCACAAGTGATGACATGAATGAATACCATGTTTACCCTTAGCACATGCCCTGCCCTTTGGGATGGTAAAGAGCTATCTTTTATAGCCATCATGTCACATGTGACTTTAGACATGTTCAGCTAAATTAACTCTTGTAGAACATGTTGAAACACTTAACTAGAAAGTCCCTTCTATATATACAAGATTTTACTCTACATATGCAAATGTGAGCTATTCCATCCCACTTTGCTAATAACATTCTTCCTTTGTCTTGTCTTGGAAAGTTTTATAATTGCTTTGACTGTATCCCATACAGTGAACTTCCTGCAGTTGTCATCATCTTAAAACTAATGTTTGGAGCTTATGCAGGTTTCCCTTGCTTTATGCTATACATGCATTCCTGGAAAATGGCGCACAACTCAAATTAGCATAAAGGGAACCCACTTTACAATGTAACAAATAGAGATATGTTCCAAGACCTTGACAGTACTGACCCCCAGACCCATTTCTACCACTTTTACAGGACAATTTTGGTACTCACCAACAGCAGACAGTGCACGCAAGCACAGGGCACTATCATAATGGGGACGGCAACTACAAAAACAAGCATCAGAGACAATGAGCGAGGAGTACAGATCCCCACAGGAGACTATATTTTGGTGTGCATCACTCCCACAATGCACTGCACAAAGCAGCTGACTGGGCTTCTACTACACCACTCGCATAAGAGTGAACTTACCTTGCATGTAATGAATTTTTGGTATAAAAAGCGTCATCGCATAAGAACAAATTTGCACGTACAGAACCTGCATACAGCGATTGGAAACCTGTACTCTGCTGTGTAGGTCAGTGGATGTAGTTTAAGGTGTGCATAACCACAGTGAAGTGTTAAAGCATGGTAGGGAAGTTTAAGCCATTTCAGGAAGTTTTAAGCCAAATTGATGAGGCTCAAACTATAACACATTGACTGCACTTGGAAGGCATGTATGCCCATCTCTTGGCATGCAGAGTATAGACTCTTTGGGGCACTTCAGCTTTATCTGTAGTCTTGCTCTCCAATGCAGTTTTTTTAAAATGTAGCCATAACTTTGCATATTCTGTCTTTCAGAATTCTTCCTCCACTCCCTCACCCCCACTTTCTACTAGGAATGTTTTCCCTTTTTAAAGCTATTGTGGATCTCTGGCTACTAAGCTTATAGATGGGGCCATTCCTGGGCAGGGGGGTGAATCGGGGTGACTGCCCCGGGCCCTGTGCTTTGAGGGACCCTGCAGAGCCGGACGGAGCAGCTGCGCCAGCTTCAGAATCTGCCACCTCCGGCTTGCTCAGGTTCCCTCTGCTTGTACAGAACAGGGTCTTACCCTGGAAACACAAAGCCCCGCAAGCAGTTCAATATATTCTGATGGGTAGGAACATAATAGATGCGACTTGGGAGTGGCCTTCGCTATTGTGCGGGAACAGGTGTGGCTGACTTACCAGCAACTGTCTTTCTACTTGGATGTAGAGAACAAAAAAGTTTATGTCCATCAGAACAAGTTGACACAACATTAACCTGCTCTTTTACTTCATCGGATTAAAGGTTGGCAAGCTTTATTTTTTAACCTTGTTGGGTAGTCTGCGGCCCAAACTTAGAGCCACATCCTGTGCTGAACTTAACCTTGTTTTAACAGCATCGGCTTCAGTAGAATTGCTTCTGCTTGTCAACCTATTTCCTGTCATACCTATGTGTACAGTGTGGCTTTTTGGTTGTTCTGGCCCTTCTCAATATTTGATTTTATTTCTTAAGTGGGCAACTAAGGTCCTGTCGGCATTGTAACTGGACAGCATTGGAATGAATGGAATCGAGTGACAGGAGACCAAAAATGGATCGGCTGTGAATTTTAGGATTGGTCTACAACCAAACTTGCTCCAAAATAGCTAAATTGGTTGCGATTAAAACTGTTTTGCAAATATTGTTTAGATGGGTTTATTAACTTAAATCTTTTTTTTAACAAACTATTTTCTTCCCCCACCCCCTATACATCAATATAGAGCCCCTATAAACTAAATAGTGATCAGACTTGATCCAAAATAGTGTGACATACAGCAGCTTAATTAGTTAGCCCTCGAACTGCCAAAAGCATGTGGTAGGGAAGGTATGGTTCTTTACATTCATTTAATGCCAAAAAGGGATCTTTGTAGATTTTTTTTCAGTGCCTCTAACATTTCAATTGAATGAGAACTTAACAAAACCAAGGAATAAGCAGGCTTATATTTTCATGATAAACAATGTTTTAGATTTTCTGGATACAAAAGCTCCTTCGATTTTTAAAGCCCTTGTGTCAGTCAGAGATGTATCAGTGCTAGTAGTTCTTCACCTGTACATAGTTTTTGTGGTGATTTGCAAGAGTAAACCTGAATTTGTGGTGTCAAAACAAAAAATGCATCCAGAAAATTTTGTTTTCATTTAAGTAAATTTAACTATGGGTTTTGGGCGGGGTGAGGTGGTAGATAGTCTTATTACGATGAACACTCTTAAAGACTAACAGTTAAGGGTCCCAT